AAGAATTTTTTCATCCTTTCCCTTTTTTTAAATTTCCGGTATTTTTCAAGGTGTTTTTGGTTTGGTCCTTTTTTCGGAAGGGTTTTTTCCCCCTTATTTTTTAGCCTTCCCTTGATTTTTTTTTTGAACCCCCCTTGGGGGGGGGGGGGGGGGGGGGCAATCATGGGATCATGCAAAACGTACACCAAAACAAGCCGCGAGTGTAAAGTCTGTTGCTCACCTCTGCTTCGAAGAACCTTTCCCCCCCATGCCGCGCCAGGCCATGGAACAGCTGCGGGAAGGCCCGCGCGTAGCGGGTGATGAGCTTGATGGCTTCCAGAGAGAACTCCCACGACCGCGCCTGAAAAAATTGACACAAAACAAACAAAAAATGACGAAAACAAAACAAAACAGATACATATGGTATAGATGGGGAAAAAAATAAATCAAAGGCAGAACTCCCACGACCGCGGCTGAAAAAAATGACACAAAACAATACAAAAAAAAAATGACGAAAAAACACAAAACAGATGCATGTATGTAAATATCGTAGAGATGGATCAGGCAAAGGCACACGCGAGGACCTTTAGAATACGGTCTTGACGTGCGTGTGTGTGTCAAAACCATCACCGACTCGCATCAGGAGGTTTGACACACCAATGCACACGAGGATATGATGACAGCAGGGTGCTTACAGCAAGATTGCGTGCGAAAGGGCGTAAAGTGTACTCGCGTACACGAGATGCACAACGTGCTAGGTTGACACAAATGTACACGAATGTTAATAGTGTACTGCTAGGTTGACACACTCATGTGCACTCATGTGCAAGAGGACGTGATGGGCCTTCCCCCCGCCAGGGTATCGTATGTTGCGTAAGATACCACACCGACTAGATCCATCATCAAAGCAAAGCTCGACTAGACTGCAGCCAAGACAGTAGTGCCTGAGACGACAAAGGCGGCGTTGGAACCGTCTCGTGGAGGGCTTTCCAGAAACGTACAATACAAAAAAAATGCAACAACAACAACAACAGCAGCAGCAGCAGACACACAACCACCGATGTTGATGTCTACGCAGCAGCAGTCCCTACAAGACTGCTTGCTGTACAGAAAATTAACAACGAGCAACTAAACACAAACATTTGATGTTGATCTTGACCAGCAGTCCCTACAAGACTGCTTGCTGTACAGAAAATTAACAACGAGCAACTAAACACAAACATTTGATGTTGATCTTGACCAGCAGTCCCTACAAGACTGCTTGCTGTACAGAAAATTAACAACGAGCGACTAAACACAAACATTTGATGTTGATCTTGACCAGCAGTCCCTACAAGACCGTACAGAAAACTAAACAACAAACAAAAACACAAAAAACAACATTGATGTTCATGTTGACACTGCTGTGTCGATTCACTTCTTCTCGGCTCATTCTAGACACCGTTGCCGCTAGTCTCACCTCCATGTCTTCGGTCACCGGCGCCGATCCCACCACTCTAACAGTGTCCGAGGTCGACCACGCCGGCTCGTTGCGAAGAACGCACCTGAAACATGGACGACGCAAAAAAATAAATAAATAACACCGCCAAAAACAACATCCAGAACGATAAAAACAGAACAGGTGCGCACCTGACGACAAGGTGGTGGCTAAGAACTCGAGCCTCACTCAAAATTTCCAAAATACAACAACTTTGACCATAAGAACAGGCGCTACCGTGGGTCAATTAGCTTACACAAAAAAAGCTGGTGTATCGTCGTCGTGGGGATACAATATCCCGTAGACAAAAAAAGAAACAAGCCTCGGTTGAAATAAGAGGATCTTACGTGCGGGCCTTAACTCAAACATACCTGGTAGATGGACAAAAACACACAGCAACGTTATGAAAATAAAAAGAGCTCAAATGAACGTGGACGTACAACCCAACTGAACAACATTTTTTATTAATGTTCACAAAAATACTCGAGAGGGCCTTGGAGCACGATTGTGTGCGTCGACGATAACCTCAAACGGACAGGGAACCGACACGGCGGGTTGATAGGCAAAAACAGTGTGGGAGGAGGGTATGTTTCACTGTTCCTACTGCTGTATCCCCCCCCCCCTCCGTCTCGAAAGGGACGCGTGGTCAATGGTCAAATGACTAAGGCGAGCAACAAATGAGTACGCCCCCCCCCCCCCCGGCCTTTGGATGAATGGACC